CATGATTGCACAAGGGTTTTCTAATCATCAATTAGCCTTCTGAGCCAATGAGCAAACACATTGTACCATTAGTACACTGGAGTGATAGTTGCTGGAAATGGGCCTCCATACACCTATATAGATATTGCACCAAAAACTAGACATTTGCAGCTAGAATAGTCATTTACCACATTAGCAATGTATAGAGTGTATTTCTTAAAAGTTAAGACTAGTTTAAAGTTATCTTCATTGAAAAGTACAGTGCTTTTCCTTCAAAAATAAGGACATTCAATGTGACCCCAAACTTTTGAATGGTAGTGTATATACAGTAAATGTAATTTTTGTTTTTCTCATGCGTTTTAGTAAAAAAAAAATGTTCCTTTAAACACATCTACTTAAAAATTTCCATATTTTCTTTAATTTAATTTCAAATTTATAAATTCACTGGGTAATAAAGAGATGAAATTCAAGAATGTTTTTTTTTTTCTCCCCTTTATTTCATTTAATTTTTTTTTTTTTTTTACTGACCTTAAAAAGCCATTGAACAGCTGTGGAAAACAAAGAGAAGCTTTTTTTTTTTGTCTCAGGAGCAGCCGTGGAGGACGTACAGCAGATCCTCGTGTTTTCACTTTGACTGTATTACACACTCTTTATAGAAAGTGGAATAAAAGCTTCCAGTTAAAAGATCATAGTCAGTTTCTGACTAATAAAAAAATCTTATTTATATCCAAATAAGAAAATATGATTCAATTGTTTGTGTGATTGTGAAAATGAATTTTCCAACAAGCCTTGGGCTGCAGCATTGTGATAAATAATAACCTCCAACAGAGCTTTTTCAAACAGCTTATTATTAATTTTGTTAGTAAAAGCTCACCTCGCCTTTTAAACTGCCAACAAAGCTGGCAAAAATTTTTTTTGATATTGATGCTAACATACTGTGGACAGAAAACAGTGTTCACCAATCTGATGTTTAAAAAATTAGACTACAAATTAGATTATAAAGCTTCTTCAAACTGCCTTTAATTATAATTTGACTTATTCTATTTATTCTGTGCTAACGTCTTAGAGAGAACTTCATTGTGCAGACTCAGAAAAATACTTCTCTTAATTAATGTTTTGATATAGAAGAAGGTTTTAACAGATTGAGGACAGAAGTTTGCAAAGACAAAACAATTTACAGATGTTCTTTATCATCCTCTCTTCTTTCTTTTTAACATCTTAAACAGGCAGACTGTCAGATATAAACACTATGATGTTGCAATTCACCACCTGCAGCCCAGCAACGGCTGCAAATTATGAAGTGCAAAAAAAAAAAAACAGATGAAACAAAACAGCTCCCAATTCTTCCTCTGACTCCGCTCTCTGGTTTGTGTCAGATTGGTTTTTCCGTCCAGCTTTTGCCACGTTTGTTTTGATAAGAGAACTAAAAGTAAGATGAGGGAAATCGAAGGGAGAGAAATAAATCAGTTTGATCTGCTGTTTGGAGGAGTTGAGGTCTGGTTAAAGGGGCTCCCAACCTGGATCCACACGTTTTCACAGCATTTACTTTAAGTCCTCTACACATTGTGTGTATATGTGAAAAGAAGCAACTAAATGTGTTTCCAAACCATCATTTCCAAGGTCAGCATGACGGCCTAATTACAGCTCATTTTGACAAACTGACCGGCAGGATTTATTCTTCTTACAGACAGATTTAAGCTCAGGAAAACTTCAGATGTCCTTTTAGCATGGTCTTCACCAGAAAGCAGCTTTTGCAGCGTTTTACAGAGATTTTAAAGAAAGGGATTTGTCAGGAAGGAAGACAAAAAAAGACGCACAGCATCACTCAGAGACCAGGGGAATCTGTTATTGGTTATTGCAGATATGCTGGATGACTCTCCAAAAACTAGCTCACCTGATAGGTCACCAACAGCAGCTGGAAACAACTGGATATGATTTCAACAAGGGGGGAGTTATAGACCAAGTTTACCGGAGTGGAAGGCGTGTTTTTTTTTTTTCAGGGCATAAAGTAAAAAAATAAGACAATACTTCATCATTCCGTATATTAAAGTCATAGGGAAATAATATTTAAATGTCAAGTTATTCTAGCTTGAACATGTATATAAATGTACTCTTTATCAGACGATATTGTCCCAAAATTTAGAAAATGTCTATTTAAAAGAAAAAATCCTGTCCTTTTTTCCGTTATCTTATGTCGATCCCTTCCTAGAACCGCCCGTGTGAATCCTAATTATTTGCTCAATAAGAAATTATTAAAACCTAAAGTTTCAAATTCAAAGTTAGAAAAAGTTTTACTTTTATTGTATTGTTTTGTTTTTTTCCAATAATTCACCCAAGATGTTTGTGCCAGAAAATCATCTCTAGATTCTGTTCATCAGTGAAGTTTTTTTTTTTTCCATCTGAGAAAGAAGCACAGTCAGTGATGCTGGAAACACAGAGCTTCAGTCCTCTGACCACTGATGCTGCCTGGTAGCTTCTGTCTCCGCACTCTGCATAGATTCATTGGAAGGGAACATAGATTTCTGCGCGGGGCCCGTCGTATTATCTAGTTATTGAATGTCCTGCTGTTATAGAACAACTTGAAGAATCTCAACGTCCTTTAGCGCTTTGTTCTGAGAACAGTCAGACTTTCTGCGAGCTTTCTTCTCCGCTTTTTCCTGACACTCTGATTGGCCGCTCTGCTGGTGGCCGAACTCAAAGCTGATCCTGAGCTCTCCCATCTGGCAGCGCGGCAGAACGTCAGGGATCCACTGGATCACGAAGGGGCTGGACTCCTTCTGGTCCCCAGAGTTTGGTCCTGGCAACGAACAAAGGAAGTGGAGAATTTTTTTTTTTTAAACAAGCAGAAAAAAAGCATTTTCTGTCGGGAATTTAAAACAAAATAAGAGAACGGAAATAAAGGGAGACACGTACCGACTTTGAGGAAAGTGCGGTGCTCCATTGGTCGTATGGCCTGGGGACGGTCCGACCTGCACCCGTCTGTCAATTCCCGCTCAGGCGGCGACTCAGGGAGGTTAAAGTGAGAGTAAGAGCCGTCCAGATTCTTGACAAAACTCTGAGTGACTTCTAATGGAAGCTGTTGGACAGATCATTAGATCTTAGGCTGCTGATTGGAAAATGGCGGCTAACAGCTTTGAATAAATAAGAGAAAAAGCCAATTATGAATAAAATAGTGTTTCTTTTTGTTGCGAGTGAAGACGTTTTGTGAATGGAAACTTTTTAAAAAAATGTTTATTTAATTTTGAAGAAAATTGTATTTAATTTTGAAAAAAATTGTATTTAATTTTGAAAAAAATGTAACTTTAAAAAAACTTTTCATAAAAAAAAAGTGGGGTTTGAAATAACGTTGCTGCTTTTATTTTATTTAAATCCTTTTTTCTGGTTTCTTTTTTTCCAATTTTATTTTTATCACAAACAAAACATACTGATTTTATGTTTTAAATTTATTTTATTAATTTTCTTTCACAGGTTTTACATTTTGAAGTTATACTTTTTTTTATTTCTGTTCCAGAATGAGTTTTATAAATTACACATTCTCTTCACTTGCAGCACAATAGAAACGCTCTTGACCAATAAGACGTTGTTGCTAACGTCCATCCAGACCAATAGAAATGCGTCTTCGCTCAGGAGAAGCATTTCTAAAAGATATGAAGAAAGTTTGATCTGACTGCAAGTCATAAAACTCAATATGAAAACTGAAATTTGAAGAGAAAAAAGTAAAAGATGTAAAATATTTAAAAAAAAACTGCAAAATTACACGCAAAACCTTTTTTTATTATAATTTTTCTTAAAATTTCATTTCTTGATTCCTTTTTTTTCCATATTTCCATTTACAAACATGTTCTTTGCTTGCAGCACTAATGAAACCAAATTTACCGCATAAATAATCTACATAATATTTAATGTTTTGTATAAAGTTCCAGGAAGTGTTTTCACTTGTTTTTGGTCTTTAGAACATACCTCAGGCGTGTCGAAAATCTGTTTGACATGCTGCAGGTTGGTGATGTGCCAGGTGTACTTGGTGAAATAGCCCAGAGGAGCCTCGTTTTTCCTCACAGATGCTGAACTCCACAGAGACAGAACATTTAAAAAAAGTTTAATCATCAATTTTTGAAAAGATTGCCATTTCTTTCCCCCCTCAGCCCCTCTCTAGTCAGTACTCGCTATAAACCTCCTTCTCTAGGGGCTGCAGAAGCTAATCTTTTGGGGTGTTTCTCTTTCTGCTTTTCACATCGAAAGATATAGTTTTTTTTTTTGTTTTTGTTTTTTTTTAAAGATATAGTTTTAAAAGAAATATAAAACTCAACAGATGTATTTCAGAGTCTTGCTAAAGATTCTAAAATGGATTAAGGCCTGGACTTTGACTAGGTCATTCCAACTGTTGTGTTACAGATTTAGTTGCATATTTAGGGTAATTTACCACCCGGCCTAAACTGAAGTCTAATGCATGCTGATAAAGGCTCCCCACAGCATGATGCTGCCACTACTGTCCTCCACAGTGAAGACAGAATTCATATACTAAAACTTGCTTCTCTGTTGTATAAAATTGAATTAAAATACATCCATCCATTTTTTATCATGCTTTATCCCTGCTGGAGTCGCGAGGGGTGCTGGTGCCTATCTCCAGCTGTCTACGGGCGAGAGATGAGGCCCACAGGGCAACACAGAGACAAACAACCATTCACACACACACTGACACCTAAGGAGAATTTACAGAAGCCAATTATCCTAACAGTGGACTGTTGGAGGAATACCCAGAAAGAACCTATGGATGCACAGGGAGAACATGCAAACTCCTTGCAAAAAGACCCCGGGCCAGGAATCGAACCCGGAACCTGAGCAGCCCCTAAAAATTGCATTAAAATATCTCACTTAAATTTTTAATTTGTGCAAAAAAGTGTAAACGAGCGCTATAGGCATAAATACTTTGGTAAAGCACTGTACAGTAGCCCTACACAGCAGCTTTATGTACAGTGTTTCTGTTCAATATGGTAAAAAAAACTCACTTGTCGTGAAATTGGGCAGTCTTCTCTTCTTGGATCCCAGCGACAGCCGCTGCTGTAGAGCGTTGAAGAACTCCTGGGGGATCTGGTAGACTAGTGGATGTGGTTTACCTAACAATAAGAGATGAATGCAAAACCATAACTAAACCACACCTTAAAAGGGTCTCTAGGTCTTTAAACAAAGCTCGACCCTTTCACCTCATTTTTGTAAAATACTTGATTTCAATATGCTAAAAATGTGGGTTTAAGGTATCATTCAATCTAAATTAAACATTAGATTAACTTTAGGCAATAAAATCTAGACTTTCAGAATAAATATTTCTATTATTACAAAAATAAATCTTCGACGACCTAAACCATGTTAAATGTTTGTTTACACCGCCCTCTAGTGGATGCACATGCCAGGTACACTGGTATAAACCAGCACAGTATGGGTCTAAATGGAAAACAAATTAAACTTAGAGATATTTTCATTAGATTTTAACATTAATGCCATCAAATCCTGTTGGTTTATTACTTGCTTATCTATAAAACCTGAGACACAACGTGGGAATAAAGAAATTATAAAGAAAACTAAATCTTTCTAAGGTTGACACACTTCAGTCACAAAAGTGATTATCACAGATCAGTAAAAAGAAGCACAACATTGTGAAATGGAAGGAATTTTCCTTACATGTCACAACTCTTAGAATGAAATATTTCTTTGCATTTTTCTCACTCGATCTTGAACTTCTCTTTATTGTTTTCGCTGGAAGGTGCTAACTGGCTTAGCCTCAGTATGCTACATCCTCGTTGACCTGCTGTCCACATGGTCAGAATCTCACCTCCTTTGTTATTGTGAATATAAATAAAGCAGATATGATATTATTAACATTTACTAATAAACTGAGCAAAAAATAAACACGGAAATAAAGAATACACAAGCAGGATGCAGTAATCTTTCAGAAAATGTATGTAACCAGAGAGAGATACTGGCATATAATGAATTTTAAAAAATCAAATAATGACCAGGCACCTTTAAGTCCATTGAATGTTGAGGCTTTCTCAACATTACACGTCACTTCATGGTGTTTTTAGAGTGAAATATTTCCATGTAGAGCTGGAATGTTCTGCTTGAGGTAGTTTAAAAAGAATTCAGAAGACGGATCCTTCACTGGTTCTACATTGAAAGCATTGTCACACCCTGTGTGGTGCGACACTACCTCATGGCGCTCTGATAAAATAGACTCAATACATCTGCCAGTGTGTATCAGGCCCACTGTCATGTAGTATCGGCTGCTTTTCTGCAGTCTCATAAGTCTGTAATAATACAAACCACATGTTTCAGGCTGTTTAAATTAAAATATATATAATTTTCCTTCTTTTACTTCAAAATATGTTTGTCTGTCTATCCCATTAGTTCTCATGGATGCATTAAATTTGTGTTCGCAATCTGATTCAAGGGGTATGAATGTGGAATACTGCAACATTGCTAATCATGAAAGGTGTTTCATGCAAATGTTACCATCTAACTGGTAGTGCATCGTCTGATGGATCCTCTCAGTCACACTGGCTAGCCACGGCTGGAAGCCCATCGTCACTGTGCGCTCATCAACAACCTGAGCGCCGCCTGAGGAGGACGAATCACATGTTAAATCATCGACGGTCTGATTGGCAGCTCATTAGTGGAGAGAATTCAATGGAAGGAGGGGAAAGATTGGGATGGGAAAAGACAGGAAACAGGAAAACATAGGCAGAGAGGAGAGACAGGCAGCACCTGCAGGTTTCCTCTGACCGGCTTTCCTCGCGCCGGAGGCCGGCACTCCGTCTTTCCAGCACTCTGCAGAGGGAGGGGCTGCTGAGAGGAGCATCAGAGTGGTGGAGGTAAGAAAGGACAGGTTTAGAAAGAGGAAAAGACAGAGAGAAGGCAGGACAGCAGGAGGTTCAGACCAGGATCAACCAGGCTTCAATGCTTTATGTCAGATAGTTTAAAAAGTGAAAATACCACCAGAGGCAGGTTCATCCAAACGCTGCTTCTTCGCTTTATGCTGGGCGTTGATGGAGTCTGCCTGCTGCAGAGGTTTGGTTTCACCGACAGCGTTCTGCTGCTCACCTGAGGAGAGAAAGACAAACTCTTTAAAATTAGCTGTAATCTCAACATACTTCACACGAAATAAGAACCAAGGTTTTTGCAGGTGCTTAACCTCCATATGAAAATTAGAAAAATTGACTTTAAACCTGATGAAAAATACCCCATATTAGAAAATACGTTTTTGTTGAATATAAGGAAAAATATGCATTTTCAACATCAATTAAAGATTTCATAATTTAGACTTTATGCCTTAAATTAGTGAGTCTGCAGCAGGTTAATCCATAACTTCCTGTTTCCCTGCAATACAAATATTACAGCGTGAAAAATAACATTTTTCAGACAGATTTGATCATTTAATGCTTATCAAATCTGGATCCTACAATAACACCAAATTTGAAACCTGATTTAATACAAAATAAAGTATATTTGTTAATTTGTGATGTTTTTATTTTGTTCCTGGAGGTAAAACATTAGGAGATTCGGTGCTCTGCGTGATGCTACATCAGATCCAGTTTTCAAACACACACAAGGACACATCTGGTCTGTTCTAGATCTATGAAGATCTAGAAGCCAAAATTAACCACTGAATGGACCTTTGTCATTTTCTTATGTTTAGTTAACCTTTAAACTTTAATTTAGTTAAAAAAAAAAAAACAATAACATGAACAAAACTTTAGCTTGAGGTGTAACATTTCATAGAAAACAGACAAAAACTTTCATCTACCCATTTATCATTTAGATTACAGAATGTAGAAAATAAATCATTAAAGCAAACCTTTTTACTAGTTTTTTATTTTTAAGGAAAATCTTATTCTGACCTGAAAATAAAATAATTCTCCAGGCATTTCCTGAATCCTTTTTCTTTAGCGTTTTCTTACCAACTTCATATATTTGATCAAATCAAGTTAGACTAAGTCTAACTTAAATTAAGACTGTCATTGTGAGATTATGCTAAAGTTGAATTTATTCCAGGACCTTTCTTAATGCTAATCACTGCAGGCAGAAGGGGAGATTCTGTACCTTTTGAGGTGTAGTTGATGAACGCTGCAAACTCTGCAGCCAGCTTTTCGTTGCTTGAGAAGGCGCAAACGCAGGCGTAGAAATGAAGGCAGGGTAGGGATGTGGCTGGGCTCGGAGGAGGAGGAGGAGGAGGGAGCGAGGCGGCTCCGTTCACGCCGGGTTTGACTCTCCCTGCGCTCACCTGGCAGGTACAATGAAAGACCTTCTTGTTGCTCTTTAGTGTGTCCACCTGAGCCACGGTGAGGTGCAGCAGGCCCAGAGGATGCTGCGAGTCTGTGTGGCACTTCACCACCAGGGTGTCTTTGGAGACCCGCTGCACCAGAGGTCCGGGGGACTCTGTGGCCAGCCTCCACAGCTCCTCCCTGGCTTGGATGGACGCCTGCAAAGCCTCCAGGACGGAGCTCTTAAAGGTGAGGGGCGTAGCGCGGCTCCTGCAGTCTATGGCCTGTTTAATATGGATGCAGAGGCTGTTGGAGGACTGCTCACCTGATGCTGAATTGGACTCGCGCCTGTTTGACCTCTCACCCTGTCTGCAGGAGGGCAGGAAGCAGCGGCCGAGGTTGATGCGGGTGAGCAGGGTGGCTCCATCCCCGGTCGCTATGGCCGTGTCTGTGGGGACCAGCTCCACAAATCCCCACTGAGTGCTTCCTCTTCCTCTGTGGCACACCGAAAACACCTGGGCACCTCCTCCCGCTTCCTGCTCTTTCCCACAACTCGCCTCCTCGCTGTCAGTTATCACCCTCACCACCTCCACCGCGCCTCTCTTGCTGCTTTTACATCCTGCAGAAGCATCTCTGAGCCTAACGCCGCAGGCTGCGTTCTTGCAGCTGAGCCCGCGGGTCCCGTTGTAGACGCCGCACTGAGGACACTTGCGAATGCCCCGCAGGGTTGCCCTCCCCAGGTTGGAGAGAAAGGCAGGGGTGGTGGCCGAGGACTTCCTGCTTTCGCGCTGCTTTGCAGCTAAAGTGGTCTGACCGGGAGGAATCTGAGGGGAGGAGGACGAGATATTTCCTGAAGAGGACGAGGTCACCTCTCTGTCCATTCTGAGACTTCTAACAGAAGACTTCAGCTGCACAACAGATGAATCATGCCTTGAAAACAAGAAAAAGGTTTTAATGTTGAGATAAGAGAAACATCAGTCTCTAATATCAAACTGCCTTTAGCTAGTTTGTCTCGCATGTTCATCATCATTTTGTTACGATAATCAGGAAAACTGTAACCTAAAGACATTTTGGTTGTCATATAGACTGCCATAAAGCAACTTATTCATTCATTTCATTGTTTTGCTTTCTACTTCTGTAAAAGTAAATCCCTTTATTGTCACACAACGTGGAAATTCACTTTTTTTGTTTTGTTTTTTAAACAGTGTACTGTCTGGTGATGTGGCAATAATAATAATTGTCTTGATGCCAAAAAAGGGCCCAACAGATTTTACTTTTACACGTGGAGCAGCGAGGCTATCGCCATCGTGTTCCGCTTGATTCATGCATATAAATTGCTTTATTATAATTCATGCAGGGAGTATTACAGATTATATAGACACTGCAATGTAAAGGAAAGGAAAAACAGAAAAAAAGGAGAAAAGATAAAAAAAAAAGGGAGGAAATTCAGTCTCTGCATTTAACCCCTCCCCTTGGGGAGCAGTGGGCTGCCATTGTGTGGCGCCCAGGGAGCAGTGTCGGGGTTAAGGCTCTTGCTCAGGAACCAGAAGTGCAGGCTGTGGGGATCGAACCGGATACTTGCAGCCTTCTCAGAGCACAAGAGCACTGCTCTAACCAGTAGATCAACACTCCCTTTTTGCCTATTCTTAATTAAAAGGTGTTTATTTTTTATTTTTAGAGCGATACAATACATCATTTACCATTTTAGATTTAAGTTTTTGATATCAAAGCTGATCAGGACAATATGAATGTAATATTTACATTAAAACTTCAGACGTTAATCAGTTATGGTATCTGTAGTTTTGGACTGCAACCGATTACCTTGTTGCTTCGATTAATCTGTGGATTAGATTTTCAATGAATAATTGGTTAGCAAAACATTCCTTAAAGAGGATTTTTATTTTTTGTTTATTTATTTATTTATTTATTTTTACATAAATTAAACTAAAGGACAAAACATATTTACAAACAAATGTTTCTATGTTTTTTTTTTGTTTGTTTGTTTTGCAATTTTGGTATAATTACTGCTCTGAGTGAGTCGTTCTGTCAGCTATAGGCATCTTTTAGACCCTCTGTATTCCAATTAACAATTAATTACTTGACGATTATTTCAATAATCAATTAATCACGATTAATTGTTTTAGCCGCACCGTAGTTGAAGAGAAACCTTATAAATCTAATAGTTAGAAAGAGAGAAATTATATAACATTTAAGTAGCCTGAGGTTAGACTACAGAGGTAAATCTCTCCAATGTGAGATCAGTAAAGTTAAATTATTATTATTAGTAGTATTATAACCAGTCAGTCACCAGTGACTGGCTAATTACTAGTGGTGAAATACTATGGAAAGCCATTAACTGGAAAACTTCAAACAGAAATATTAATGGTTTTTACCAGGAGAGGAAAATTAGGCATATTAGCACAGAATATTAAAGGAAAATTAAAAGATATGTCAAGTAATGTTACTTTACAAATGAAAATCTTCAATTCTAGTGCCTTTTTTTGTTTGTTTTGTTAAAATTACCTTGAATTGATTAATTATATCTATATTTATCAGGTCCTTACTGTAGTACTTCTTTTGACGTCATCAATCCAAATACACACAGAGAACAACAGAGAACAACGAACACTTTTAAAAACTTTGTATCATAAAATAAATGACTAAATGACAATACGTCCTTCCATCTTCAGCTCCGTGTTCCGAGTGCTTTACGTGTAATAAGCATATTCATGATGCTACATGAACTTTTTTTTTGCAACCATACGGTCTACCTTACCTACATCTGTGTGAATATTGAAAAAAAGCTCTAACCGCCTCTAATCCGCCTCTGTTTGGTCGGATTCAGCTTCGCTCTGGCCTCCTAGAACGCCTCGAACGTCGCCATTCCTCCTTACATCCAAACACCCGCATTGCGCCTGTAACGGCCCTTCCTATTGGACGGAGCCTGTCACGTGGGAGAAAGGACAGGGGCGTGCCGTTTGGGCCCGTGGAATCATGGTATATGTAGTTTATTCAAGATAAAAGGCGGAGAGTTGCTAAACCTTTAAATGCGTTTTTCTTTTGAGTTGTCGCGTTTTAATAAAAAAAAGAAAAGTCCAGAGACAGTATCTCACGTTTCCTATATGTAATGATCTTAAATATAAACCAAAATGGTACTGAAAAAGTTAACTGATTTTTAAATTGTATGATATAAAAAACAAAAGTCAGAATTTAGACTTTAATTTCAGGATTCTGACTTTATTTCTCAGAATTCTGACTTTTTTTCTCAGAATTCTTACTTTATTTCTCAGAATTCTGACTTTAATCTCAGACACGTAAATAAACTGAATTGAATTTAATATTAGCAGTGCGAAGATGGCCTGCTACACATTCAAATTATTTTGGGGGAATCACATCATTAATTGTTTCCTATTATATTGCAACTAACCGCATGACAAAATACTATGGGAGCAGAAAAAAATACATTGTCAAACACATTTACTGCATCATCTTCAAATTTAAAGCTTTTTTTTCCTTACACTTCGATACAAATTTTTTTGTTAAATCTATATCTGAATATTATAGCTATATTTTCTTTAGCAATTTCTATATGACTGTTGCATATTGATCATAAATCTAATATATAATCAAATAAGTCTGGATGATAAGCCCATTAACCATGCCCTTTTGGGCCACAGGAACACCAATAAAAGGGCATTCCTTTGAAGGACTCCACCCACCTCTCCTCATTCCCTCTGCCCTGCTGCATCTGTGTCCACACAATGAGCTCTTAGAGCCTTTTGTCCTGCTGTTGCCATAGTGAATCACATTATCTGTTGTGAAATGGAAAAGTAGGGAATATGCTGGTGAAGATTCTCAGTCATCCAGGGCATAGTTATTCAGAAAAAAATGAAAATAATACAGAGTAGGGAAGAGAGGGGTAAAAGTACACAGAGCATCTGCTTACATTTTAGGACAGGATGTCAGTTCTTTCTGAATTTAAATGCTCTTGAATTGAGAAAGTTGGGTCAGACAGGCTATGAAATAATAATTTAAAAAAAATTATGACATGGTTTTAAGATTGATTCAAAGCAAAACAGTTAAAACTTGTTTTTCTATACGCTACTACGTTTATTAGATTTTTTTATTTTTAACTAAATAAAAAAAAAAAAAAAAGATTGTTATACAAAAGAGTGTCTTCAGTAAGAAGCTTCTCCTGATCCAGCGCCAGCCCGACTACAACAGAAGATCTTTCCTGCCTACAGTTATTAGTGCAATATTTCATTTTCCTTTGGGATTAATAATATATTTTTGAATTGATGAAAACATGCTGGATCCCTGTAATCTTAGATTACATTTAGACAAATGTAATCCTAACTACTACTTCGCAAGTCAACTACTGTGTAGTGCTCCCTTAGCTGTCTACTATGCAGATACTTTTATAAACATATTTCATGACATTACAACTTTAGAGCTTTTTTGTACTATAAACAATCTTTTTTATATTTTCATATGTTCATCTTTAATGGAATCTTGCTTTAACTCTGCCCTCTGTTCTCTATAATCTACTGAAACCAGAATACTTTATTAAAACCAGTCAAAGTCTATCCCAATAAACTTAAACTGTCCTGCAAACCATGTCGTCCTTTTCCGATTTCAAACTTTTCCATCTCTGCCCAATGGCAGCTTATGAAATCATCTGTAAAATGTCCACTTTTTAAGCACCAAATATTGATGGATGAAAGTTCATCAAAGCAGCGAAAGGCATCAAAAAGGATATGCAACAAACCTTATTGTCCCATGGAGATCTGTTTAAATATGGAAAACCTTCCAGTTCACACAGCACGGTAGCGTTACATATGATTGCACTGAAAAATGTTTAGTTACCAGTGGATACTTGCACAAATCTATCTAGACACTCAAACCATTTCTTTTAGAAGGGCTGTGTGCAAAAAAGAACTACAAACACCAAACATCTCCGCTGGGCTATGAGGAAGTATGCATTGCAGGTTCCCTGCTCTAAACCTTAAATGTACAACTAACGATCATCTAATAACTAGACTAAATTCTTATTTATTTTTTTTATTCCACTTATAGGGAGGCAAACTGTAAATAAATAACTGCTGGGTGGAAAATGACTGCTGTTTCCAAAGAAGAGAAGCAAACAGAGTAAATGGGAGCTGTTATAAACATCAGCTTTTTTAATGGGACAAAGCAAAAAAAAACAAAAAAAAAAACACAAACCATGTTACTGATGTATGAACAGAACTTCTCTTCTCAAAACGTAGGCTGAAAACATTCATAGGCACTGCCTACTCATTTTCTTTTTTTGGTTAAATTAAAAATAACTCAACTTTATAAGGCAACAAAATGGATTTTTTTTCCCCCCAATTTCTATTGACATAACTGTAGACAAGCTGCAAAAAATCTGAGGTCTAGAAGTAGGGTTCTTAATCTATAAAAACAACCACTACAATGGTGTAAAACAATAATTTAAATTATAAAGTTGTTTCTTTTCTTGAATCTAAAGACTTCTGCATTACATAGCAATGCTGCTTGTCCTCCAGTCTGCTGGACGAGTGAAATGTTGCTCTTCTTCTACTGCATACGGACCAGAACTGGACAGAGATGCTACTTTCAACCAGCCGCCCGGGATCAGTTTCCCCCAACCAGGAGCAAGCACGCATTCTCATTGAACATGTCTTTATACAGATTTAGTACAATTTAACAGACTGGTTGGCTATTTACATATAACAGGCTTCCAAATAAAATAGCAGATAAAGTGGAATGCAAAAAAAAAAAAAAAAAATTAAAATTTGAGTACTTCAAATTTTGTGAAAACTATACGTTTTGTGCAATCTTTGTCTGCCTGTACACAAGATAAGAGTGGCAGTAATCCCTGCAATTGTTTTGAGATATACTAATTAAAAGAAAATCAGCCACTTAAAGTTGTCCAAACAAAACATACAAGGGTCTTGAATGTACATGATTAGATGGCATCGCTTTAACAATTCTTCAGTCCTGAAATGAAACAAAAAAAATGCAAAAGCTCTTTATACAATGTCAGCATTTTAGGTTGACCAGAACAAAAAAAAAAAAAATGGAAATAAAAACACCTTTCTCTAGCAGTTTTGTAGCAAACCCTCTGAAAAAGAGGAAAGAAATAAAATAGCATAATAGTCCTTCTGGGTTTTGGGGTAGATGACGGGGACGTTTCTCGGTGAATAAAAGCATCAGTTCATGCACACACACACAAACACACACTTCTTATCCACGGGTGAGTTTTCGCCGTCTGTTCCGTCCGGTCCAGGAAATAAAGGAGCACTGGTGTTTTCTTGTTCCGATTGTTTAGCTGTAACCCATCCCCTCCCCCAACCTGTTAACCACTACAGTTGGTTAGAATACCTTGAGCACACCCTGAGAACCCACTTCTGCTGCTTCACTACAGTGATGAGTGGACAGAGCAACGATGAGATCGACAAGCTTCAACGCAGAAGAAAGGATCAGCTAGTCGGTACGTGAAGTGGCTGTGTTGCAATACTGGAGATTACTGAGTGGAAGCGTTTGTTGCCTGTCCTCCGTGGTTGATTGGTAGATAGTGAGAAAATTCTGCCCTTCATGTTTTTGGCATTTAGGGGCTGAAACAGGAACGTTTCCTTTTTAGCTTCAATTCACTTAACACTCGTTTTGCTTTTAAACCAAACTTTCTGTAAGGAATATCTTGACAGATTTCTTTTTTTTTTCTGGCCATGAAGACACCAAGCCATTAGAACAGGCCTAGGAATGCAATGTGCATTAGCAGTGGCTTTGTCAGTGTTTGCATGTGTATCATCCTTCAACCTGTGTATTTGGGCAGTGGGTGAGACTTTGGGCTGGTTTAAAAAGAAAAAAAAAATGGCAGACCAGCTTCATTAACAGACAATTTGTGATGTGAAAGTCAGAGCACATCTGGTGCACTCCTTTCCCCAGCAGAGTATAATCCTTGTGTCCTTGGACGCTAAGAGGGGGCTGCTGTGATCAGTGGGTGGGGTATCCAGTGGTGCTCATGCCTGCCTGGTTGGTTAGCATTGTCCCGTTGACTCCCTGGCCAGCCTCCACCATGCCTCCGTTGCTCACAGCGCCCACGCCCGTCCATCCAGCTCCAGCATGTAAATGGCTAAAAGGGAGAAAAGAGTTTTCCAACGTTACAAAACAATATTCTGACCCATGGGTCACAACTGGCCAAGACTCCAAATTTACTGCTTTTATTTTGAAGGCAATCTGCACCCCTTTCTAGAAAAGCGAATTTAAGCGGAGTGCCTCAGTGAGCAGAAAACTGAAATCGATGAAAATTAATCTAAGAAATAAGACGGTTTAAATGGTTTGCTCAGTTTTTTATTTTAACTATGATTTAGAACATTGATGTTATCAGCTAAAAGGTCATTTTTACCTAAATGTTTCAGAGAAATACTTCCAGGATGAACTGCAGCACCCTGTGGCTGCAGGTGGGTTATAGTAAATTTCACTTACATCTTAATCTGAAACCAGTTCTAATCCACCTCAGCAAAGTTGAGAAAATCTTTACTTTATATTTCCTCACACCATCTTTTTTGCAGTTAAAACAAGTTTGTAATTTTCCACTGATATTGTTAAATGATTTTCAATAAAACAAAATTGGAGCATTGAAGATTTTCCAGCTATAAATGGAATCAATAATGACTACAAAAGTGCAAACAGTTCACCCCTAGAATAAATATTCTCCCATTTAAAATAGTATGACTGTCTTTAAAATGTTGTACAAATTATAAAATCAATATGTTAACTGGTAATTTTAACATACGTTTTACGTATACATTGGTTGACATTTTTAAGTTTCAGTTGCAAATATGTAATAACTATACTCCATCCAGCCATTTTCTTTCACGAAATCCAGGGCTGGGTCATGGAGGCAGCAGTCTAAGCAGAGAAGCCCAGACTTCCCAATCCACCTCCTCCAGCTGTTCTGGGGGGACCCCGAGGCGACGCCAGGCCAGCTCAGAAACATAGTCCCTCCAGCGTGTCCTGGGCCTTCCATGAGGCCTCCTACCAACAGGACATGCCTGGAACACCTCCAGAGGGAGGCGACCAGGAGGCATCCGGAATAGATACCCGAACCACCTCAGCTGGCTCCTTTCGACATGGAGGAGCAACGACTCTACTCCGAGCTCCTCCTGGGTAGCTAACTATACTAACCACTAACTATACTATTGGAACATATAATCAAATATACAATAAAAAAATAATCAGACAATGATTTGGCCCTTATCTGTCAATATGTTCCTAATTTAAACAAAAATGCATTAGCACATGAAAAATGCGTCACTGGAGCCTTAACTGCTAAATGTAGATATCAAACATATAATCCCATTTTAAGATTAAACACTTTTATCTCTGCCGATGCCAAAATGCAAGAAAATGCAAAGGAGCATTTGCATTTGCAGATATGTCAAACAGACATTACTGCTGTCTTGTAGGCAGGGAGGCTGCAGCATGCTGAAGACACTGAGCCAAGTTATCTGGAATTTCTCCTTGGTAAAATTAGCAGCACCCAAGCTTGGAGTGCAACCAGACATTCTTCATCCTAGCAGCACAGGAATACCTTTAGCTGTTGAATCTTTAAAGGGCAAAGTGGAACAACTTTAAGGTGGCTTCTTGAAAACAAAAACAAAGAAAAAATTTTTTATGGTTTGTAAATTAATATATTTTTATCTTGATACTAACTTTGTTAAAAGCCCAGTTTTAGATCAGAATACATTGTGAAAAGGTTCAGGAAATGAAGTTCTGTTGAACAAGTTTGTAATCTAAATTGAAAAGCTTCATAATTAACCAGTTTTATTTTATATTTCTGCTACTTGCTTGTTGTTTAAAATAATCTAGATCATGAAAAACTCATTCAAATTTAAACTTTGAATCTCAAACCAACCAAAGCCTAGTGTGTTCCCTCCAGACAGAAACACACAGGCTGGATGCTGCTCTAAAATAGAAACATAAGTAAATGGATAAACAAATACAAATAGATTAAATTTGGCTTCAATGTTTTTCTAAGAATCCAAATCTCTTGAATAAAAGCCAGTGAATTCATTATTTACTTCTATTGTGCTCATTTTGAAGTGCAATAATGCAGAACACGTTTTGCAGTACTTTAAGGGATTTAGGAGAATAAAAAATGTCTTTGTTTTTGCAGAGACAAATTGATTGGGCTAAAAAAAAACAAATATGTAAAAAGCCCATTCCTAAGACTCACAGAGCTTCAGAACCTTCCTGCTTTTCATGTTTAAGCTTCTGTTTTATATCAACTTATACTTCATATCCTGTCTCAGACCTGAAAAAGAAAATTCAGCCAGAGCAAATTTGTTTGTAGGGTTTCATGGTCAAGATGTTAAAAAGAATTTGATTTAACTCATTAGGCTGCCTTCTTTAGACCATTGAAATCTGCCTTTCAGTAAGAAGCAGTGCTGTTTATTTCGGATTGGTGTAATGTTTCCACTCACTTGTAGCCCTGCTGATCCCAGGCCTGCCCATAGACGCCATAGCTTGGCACCTGCCATCCATTGGGCACGTACTGACCGATCTGCTGTGTGTTGCTGTACCACTGCCCCCACTGATTGTAAGGTTGGGCAGCGAAGCTCAAGGTGTTCTGCTAAAATACAAAAACGTGCATTGAGGAGACACATCTAATTATTTATTATTACATAAATGATAGATTTTACAGGGAAGGAATTGTCATACCTGTGCCATCTGTACCTGCTGAATGGGACCCTGTACGATATCTGTTGTTTCCTTCCCCCAGTAACACTTCACAATGTTGCCCTCTATGGAAGTGCCATTAACAGAAACTATGGCATGAGCTGCTGCTTCGTGGGAGTTAAACCTGGGAGAAGAAAAGATCTGAAACATTATCCTTCCTAATCAAGTTATCCTAAAAAGATAACTCATCTGACAGGTAGATGAGGTTTCCCCCTAAAACAGGCAGATCTAAAAGTCAGGTTACCTCACAAAGGAGTAGCCTTTCTCTGGGAAAACACGGATTTCCATTATTTGGCCAAAAGGTGAGAAAGTCTGTCTCATTAATTGCTCTGTGAATAAAAAGAGAAAGTGTGAATAGTGCTCAGTGCTTGTAAGACTGTGCCTTGGTTACACTGTTCCTCACCTGTGAGACCTTGTGTGACTCCCCCGCAGTAGACAGTACAGTTACTGAGGCTGGATTGGTTTAACACCTCATCAAAGGAGAGCTGTTTGCTACTGGCTGCTAAAAAAAAAGACAAATATGAAGATTTTGATTAAGAATATTTATTAAACTACAAAATAATAAAACATGGCTGACAAAAAACAAAGGTTGACCAGTACTAACTTACTTTCATTCGTTGTTTTAGGAGCAGGCTTCCTCGTGGCCCAGTTGGTCCTGATCTGTCGGCCTCCCAACCACTGCCCTCCCATTTGCTGGATGGCGTTTTCTGCATCCTAAACGTGAAAATAGAAGAAATGTCCCAACAAGAACCTGAAAATATGTTCTGTATCATTACAAGTTATGTCACTTAGAGCTAAACGTACCCATTTGTTGAAGAAGGAGACAAACCCGTAGCCTTTAGATTTACCTGTGGCCATGTCTTTCACGACACGACAGTCCCTGAAGGTAAACAAACACATTTAGACGCAGTTAAAAAGTAACTGGTTACACTCTGAAATTACTGACATAGTAGCTCGACTTACACTACCCTTTTGAAACGTGCCGAGATCGGTCCGAGCACGGTAACTGAGATAACTATTGAGTGTAAATGCTATGCACAACTGAACCGGACCGCGCTGTACACTAAACTGGTACTAGATCAATAGTAGGGCTTGGCGCAGGTCAGTTCGGACCCAGTTCTCAGTTAACAAAGAGCGCATGAGCAGCCTCTGTAGTCATGAAATATTAGACAAAAAATACTAGCTTACCTACCGTGCCACACGATTTCTAGTGATGGTTCTGCTTAGCAGTGTGATGAACCTCAACGTCTGTTGTTGTTTCCTGCGTCTGTAAGCCCTGATTAGACCGTCATGTACCGTATCCACTTCCTAAAACTTACTGTCAAGTAAATTCACCAAAGGCTGCCTTCGCCTCACTCTGCGCACACTTCCTGAATGTTACAAGCGCCGCCATATTGAATTGCTTGTTTACATCTAGAGAGTACCATAGATCGTCACTAGGAGGCGAGGAACCATGCTAGTGTGGCGTGTAAATGTTCGTAAGGCACTGAACTCAGCGCTGTTAACTGATACAAGCTCGGCACGGATCGGTTTTCGGAGGATAGTGTAAATGGAGCTAGAATGCCATTCTGGTAAATCAAAATGTCGCTATAAGACATTTCTCAACATGAGGAACATAGATAATCTTTTTTCAGACTGGTATTGTTCCTAAATTTAATATGAAAAGTTTTTTGAAAGACGAATTTAAACTTATGAGGACAAAGAGTGTAATAAAAAAAATTAAAAATGAAAAAAACACTTTATTTCTATTTTTTAGCTAAAATTGCACATCAGGAGCATGTGCAGTAGAAAAAGTTGAGGAAAAGAAAGATGGCCTGCTGGAGAAGCACCAATGAAAATAAACTTACGATATTTTTCCAAATGGAGCGAAAGCTGCTTTTATGTCATCTGTGGTGATTTCTGGACTCAGGTCTCCAACAAAAACATGGAAGTGACCTAAAAAAAAAAATAAAACATTGTAAAAATATGAATTTGTAGATTTATTATTTCAGAAACAAATGAAGGCTACAACAGTTTCTAAAATATGCACAGTCTTGCATAGTCTTAACCCTGAACTTATGATTTCTACAAAGATATGGATTTATGTTCAGAGCAGAGGCCCCCAAATTGGGGGTGAGGGCCCCCCCAGGGAGTCACAAGACACCAACTGTGGGGTCAAAAGATGGTTTTCACTATCACTGTGAGGTCATCCCCGATGGCATACAGAAAGCCAAAATATATGCGGAAATACGCAATTTTCCATCAAATAAATTAAAGTAACTTTCATTTATTTATCATACATTGGATTTAACTACTACACATACCACAAAATTATAAAATGCACAATTTGTTTACTTATCTAACATATAATTAAAATATTAGATATACTATTAAATTATTAATTAAATGATAAAAATTAAATGACATATTAGATCATTTGTTGTATAACATTTAGATATACCATGACCAAATAACATTTAATGAAATGCACAATAATTAAATTGCCCATTTATTTGATTTCAAAATTCCTAAAATAAATTTTCTTTTTTTGAAATACCTACCATTTATAATTTTATAAATAAATAGTGAAATAGCACTATGTATTTTTAGGGTGTCGCCAGTCTGTGGGGCAGTTATTTTTGGGGTCACAGGTTGAAATGTTTAGGGCGACCTGGTTTAGTGTCATTATTCCACTCAAAGTCTTAAGGTCTTTGCATTAACTGGTATTTTCCCAGCTCTGCATGCGACTCCATCTGTAGAAAAAAATCCTACCAGAAGGATTTAACCTCCCTTTCCTTTAACAGTAACATTGTTCACTAGTTTTCCGAAACAGACTTGTAGAACGCACCACTAACAACTGTCCACTGAAAAGATATTCCCCATCAAGACGATGGATCTCTGCAGCTCCTCCTTTAATTCCTTCCATATTTAACCTGCCTGCTCGTTCATACAGATGGCCAGGTGGTAGTAGAGTTGCATTTAAGCAATATTTTTTCCAATATCAGATGATTAACTAAATAATGCTCTGTGCCATGTTCTCTTTTTCTCCCAATCTTTCTCCCTGACCATTCTGCTGTGTTCCTCAGTCTTCATGACACATTAATGTTCTAAACAAACCACTAAACTCTTCACAAGATATTTTTATTCAAACAAAGATTTAACCTACCCAAGAGGATTCCTTTGATTAGGCAACTCTCACTGGTAAATTGATCTGAGCATCAGTAAATTAATGTAAACACCAAGCACATATGCAAATAAATATATATATATATATATATATAAAAAAAAAAACATGATGGGAATTGAAAACCGATTCCTGTTCAGAACCAGTTCCGTGTTTTCCAATTCAATGGCACCGTTTGGCAGCTTGTTTAAGGATTGTCTCAATGATTCCAGGCAGCACCAGAGCCAAGAGCTCTGGGCAGTATGACTTACGTCACGTTTTTTTACGTAAGTTACGCACATGGCATTCAGTTAGCAAGTATGACGTGACCAGGCTAGAAAAGCAAAACAAAAGCGGTCAAAGTGATAGAAAGTTGGGTTTCATTTTAAGGAAGAGAAATATGGCAACAAGGCCCTCTGCAATCATTGCAAAGTGGCAATAACATCCGTGGGAGGAAATACATCCAACATGCAGAAACACCTGCGCACACAACATGGCATACATTTTAACGAATGCTGTGTTTTTGATGCTTCCGGACAGAAGCTAAAGTTAAGACCAACATGGAAGGCAAATCTGGTGGTAAGTAGCTAGTTTTATATCCCTGGCTGTGCTTAATGTGGTTCCTAGTACATCATATGCCATTTCTGGAAATAAACCAATTTCCTTCCTCTCTTTGGGGTTATTAAACATGCTACATAGTTCCTCTGCAGTTCAAGGAGCGAGAGAAAGGTGACGCTTTTTTATTCAAATAAGGCAGAGCTGAGTTTATTTCCCGAAATTGTACAGTAATGCTTTTTCATTAAATGGATGCCTTCTCCATTAGATTGAGATGACTGTGACGAGACGGGTAGCCTGGCTAGCTCAGAGGCTGGCAGCTCCCGTTCACTACCTTCAGAAATAGAATGTCCCAGGCAAAGGTAGACGAATGTCACCGTGAACTTACCAAGTTCATTGTTTCACAGAATGGAGAAGTGAATCAGAATCGTGAAAGTTTTATCAATTCCCAACCCTAGACACACGACTCTCCGTTTCTCAAACAGATAAGACATTCATGGAACAAATTACTTACTACTTGTGTCTTTCTTCTGGCTCGTTGGGGTTGTGGCCCAGTTAACCTTCACCTCCTGCAAGAAACACAGATGCAAAGCAGGGAAGACGAGAAGGTGAGAAATGAAGCTACCTTCACATGAAAGGAGGTTTTTTTTTCTTTGATTAGAGGGTGGGGGGGGAATCACACACCAGTTTTACTTTTGTTTTTATTTGTGACTGAGAAGTTCTGATTAAGATGGCCTCTGAAAGCCACAGAAATGCTTTAACCACCAACACAAACTAATCTTTATCTAATTTTACATAAACCTCAGCATTAGTCAAGACATTTATATAAACAGTGGAGAACATGAAGGGATATTAAGACTTCACCTTTATAATGAGGAACATTTCATTTTCAGGCTAGTAATTTGGAGTAAAACTGTAGGAAGTAAGGTCCAAATAACAAGGGACTTACAAACAAGTGATTTTTACGAACTTGTTATACTCCTCAAATGGTCCTTCAATACCTGTTGAGGATAAAATATTTTCAACTGAAAGTATTTTTTTTTCTTAAAAAGGTGCTCTTATGTGGATTCTACGTGGAAATAACTGCAAAGAACACAAAGCATTAAAGATATAGGGGCACAGAAGAGCAGTGATTAAAGTAGATCAACATGTCAAATGTTGTATAAGAACAAAACAGGGCCACATTAAAGTCAATTAATTCATAAAACATAGGAGGGCTCAATAGGAATGATTGTTAAAACAGATAGAATGGAAAATGAAGTGACTGAAAACAATTACTACTGATTCCTCGTTGACGCAGAAGCACCGAGAAATCAGCTGGTGATTCAGCTTGATTGGTGCTGACCGCTGATTAGACAGCTAGAGCCACAAAAAAAACTTGTATTTCCCCAAATCAACATGCTAAACAACACCAAAGCACAGCCATTCACCATGTGAATAAGTGAAAAACCCTAAAATACAACTCATTTGAGGTAAGTCTGCAGTTAAATCACAGCTAAATGTGAACAGGAAGTCTGACCACATTAGTGAAGGTGCTTTGTTATATATGTTTTCTGGCCAAACTGACTGACTGACACAGGGTGTGAGAACGGCCAGTTAAGACTCAGTCTCTGGGCTAAAACCATTTGGACCAATCAAAAATTCAAAGAACTGGCTGCCATAAGAGCTTTTCTTAAAAAAAAAA